GAGTTCGGCCTTTTTTTCTTCCACCTCCACCTCTTTTTCAATCTCCACACAACCGCACCACCCATCCTGTAACCATGATGGAGCTGCTTTCTTCTAGCTAATGGTGTCGACAGCATTATAGGCAAGAGGAAGAGCCGAGTGAATTGTATTTGGTGGTTACATACACACTTCGCTATGATTATTGGCTTGGAGAAGATACGTAAACAGCATCCTATCATGTAAAAGCTATCCATTCCATATTACGTTCTGCTATGTTTGGTAAGAGGAGTCCTATGATGGTTGCATTGATGTGCACGGACCTAATTGACGCCAACCCAGCCATAGTAAAAATGATGTAAAGCTTAATTACAAGGGAATCTCGCGTAATGGTCGTTGGTATTGACCCAAGTGTTTAGGCTTTTGTTGAGGTGCATATTAACAACAGCAAGCGGGGTGGCCACCAAAGGGAAGACAAAGAGCCCCCTTCTTCCCCTCTCCGGCTTCACAAACCAAGGTAAGCTTGTCTCCATTTACAAACTACAACACATTAACAGCTGGCACTCCTTTCAATGTGCAGCGTCAATTGGGTGAACAGGTGGTCCATGGCGACACTTTCCAGTTACAGACATTCAACAACAAGCACGCGTGCAATCTACCCATGACTCAGGCTTCCAGTAATACAACACGTACGTTCAAATCGCTGCATTTCTTTATTATTCAAGTTGGACGTTGAGATACTAAAGTCTACGTGTAGTTTGCTGCTCTCTCTCGTTTATAACCCAAAAGGGGGCCGTGTGTATTCGTTCCATGGTTGTCATACAAGAAGAGGTCTCAACAAGTCTTTACGCTTTTGCTCTGGGTATGTTGACTAGAAAAGCAAATGCTGTGCTTGCTATCTTACATTGACTTTATGGTAGATTGAATATCTTGGATGATGGTGCCTCTGACACTACAAGGAATATTGTGATCGTCGTTCATCATCTTTTCAAGCATCATTACACACGCTATTGTCCAGCAGCACACTACTACACGATACTTTGTATTGTGATTCACCCATTATTAAGGTATGAAAAAGGATGGATAGGGATATTGATTGAGAGATGGTGACTAAGAATGATTATCATTCAATGAAGGGTGCGACGTGATGTTCAGTTTCCATGATACCATATCAACTCTCAAGGACTACACCACGATACAAGCAATCTTCATCTGGTTGAGCTGAGCATGTATGTGGTTGATCAACAGCCGGACGGAGCAGCAGCGATCTCTTGGCTCTTTCAACCAACATGTTGGACTTGCAATGGTTATGGTGATGAATGAATGCAATCAAATGCAGTGATGGGAAATCCTGAAATGTCGCTTTGGTTACTTGGCGCGTCGTCATCAGGAACGTTGGATCGTGTGATGTGGATACGCCTGAGGATGGTGGTGGATTGAGGAAAGAGCTTTTATCTTTGCCAAAAAGGGTTGTACAGCCATGGATGCTATTGGAGTACTCGATTCCATCAATGCAGCGGCTAGTTTGCAATCGTGTGATTATGACAACAGCATCCAAGAATAGCACCACACAGTTATCCCTGTTGCCTTTATATGATCCACCCGTAGCTTATTCAATTTACAATGCTGTTTCTTTATCATATTCGCTTGATAAACATCCACGCTACCATGTGCTACTGTTCTTCGGATGTCTCATTGAATGAAAATTGGATTCAACATGATCTTTAGAAGGGTATCGTACTATCAGCTTATATGTGCAAGATGTGGATCACTTGGTTGGTTGGTGAATTGAAAGGGGGAATAGAAGCTTGAAGGCCGAGATGGAAGATTGGGTCATTTACATACATCATCGTATCGAGATGCTTTTGTTGTTTTGTCGCAACATTATTACTACATTCATTAAAGCTTCCTGGTTCAAAAGCTGATCGTCGAAAGATAGTGGGAGGGTGTTCTAGAACGCTTGTATTGCAAAGGTGCTACATTCAGAGTGATGGTGATGCTCATTTTAAGCTTACTTCGTTATCTTTAAATGAAAGAATGAGCTGTGATAGTACAATGTACTTGAATCATAGAAATATGTCTCTGCAGCAGACGCATCATTCCCATCATGTGGATTTTGCAACAATGCTGATCGGAAAAAAGTGGCTGTTGGCTGCCAATGTATGACCTGAAAATGAGGTATGCGTACCTGTCATGCATTGTCCCTGGGGGCCTGACTTTTTTTAGCTCAGTTACACAAAGAGGTCTTTCTGCATCTTTGGCTCTCCAAGGTCTAGCCACTTTACATTAAACAAAGACCACTTCTAATATAGCATCACGCTTACAAACATAAAGGTGCCTGTATCTCCGAACTTGACAATGAAACGTGGGGTTTTTATTAGAGCAATGGGCTCGGCTTGGCCAACTGCACCTTGTGTGAAAGTTTCACGATCAAGCTTGCCAATCCCAGATTTCGCAATGTCGCCACCAGCCAAACTGGATCCAGGGGTCGACCTCTTCGACGACGACGACCAAAAAATATTTTTTTGGGCTGTTTACGACATTGAACGCGAAACTTTCACACAAGGTGCTGTTGGCCAAGCCGAGTCCATTGCTCTAATAAAAACCCCACGTTTCATTGTAAAGTTCGGAGATACAGGCACCTTTATGTTTGTAAGCGTGTTGCTATATGAGAAGTGGTCTTTGTTCATTGTCAAGTAGCTAGACCCTGGAGAGCCAAAGATGCAGAAGGGCCTCTTTGGGTAACTCAGCTAAAAAGTCAGGACTTCAGGAACAATCCCTGACAGGTACGCAACCCTCACTTTTATGTCATACATTGGCAGCTAATAGCCACTTTTGTGCATTCCCGACTTTTGTGCATTCTATTGTAGGTGGACGATGCTCCTGCTCTAGACATTCATTTCCATGATTAAAGTAGGTTGATCCGAGCTGATTTGGTTGAGTTACGCTCACACAAGATTACATCGGTTGAGCTACATCGAGCGTGCTCTATGTCCAGAGTGATGTAATCTCTCTTTGACCGCAGCTCAGTCAAATCAGCTCGGATCAACCTACTTTAATCATGGAAATGAATGTCTAGAGCAGGGGCATCGTTCCCATGCAGTGGATATCGCAACAATGATGATTGGATAAAAGTGGCTGTTAGCTAGCAATACATGCCTATTCCTAGATGATTCATAAAGTAATTATACATTGACCCTTTCATTCATGCAAACGTAGCTGTGTTACACAACACGACCCTTTGCATCTTTTGCTCTGTCAGGGTCTAGCTACTTTACATTAAACAAAGACCACTTCTCATATAGCATCACGCTTACAAACATAAAGGTGCCTGTATCTCCAAACTTTACAATGAAACGTGGGGTTTTTATTAGAGCAATGGGCTCGGCTTGGCCAACAGCACCTTGTGTGAAAGTTTCACGTTCAATGTCGCAACTAGCCCAAAAAATATTTTTTGGTCGTCGTCGTCGAAGAGGTCGACCCCTGGATCCAGTTTGGCTGGTAGCGACATTGCGAAATCTGGGATTGGCCACGATGGACTTCATACTTTGACACAAGATCGCTTTCACCCCGCCGAGCAACATGGTTCTGTTAAAGACCCCACGTTTCATTGTAAAGTTTAGAGATACAGGCACCTTTATGTTTTACATATGCTTTAAGCGTGATGCTATATGAGAAGAGTTCTTTGTTCATTGTAAAGTAGTATGACTATCATAGAGCAAAAGATGCAGAGGGCGTGTTTGTGTAACTTGAGTCATTCAGCACAGGCGATGCATGATTCTTGTACACTATTTAGGATAGTTCAAAATGCCAGCTAATAACCTAGTCCTCCCCATTCTCCATTGTTGCCCAATCCAATGCATACGAACGATTGTTCTGCTCCAGCCCAGCATGCCCATCATTTAACTTTCATGATTCGAGCTAACCTGGTAGTAAGGTAATGGCTGTTGTTGGATCATCATTATCATGTAAAGTGTAAAATGGCACACACCCTTTTGCTATACGTGAGGATCATTTCTTTTATTCACGTGTACCTATTGTCTATCGTGAGGGTGATGATGACGATGGGTGGATGGTGTGTATATAGGGTAATTGATGAGTGGCCTCAGTGTAATAGCAGTGGGGGTTTTAAACTTGGGGGACAGCAGCTCCACGACTTGACACAACGCTTCTCTTCTTTTTCTCTCACCTTTCCTTATTCCATTCACGACGTCTCGATCAAGGTAATGTATTATAAAAAAGTGCTCTTGTTGGCTGTGAGGTGTTAATGTAGGTCTGAACATGCATTGTCAGGGAGTGAGTATGTCCAAGTGCTGAGGAATGAGCGTGGTTGGTGGTTGGTGGTTGCCATGGCGATATTGTTGCTTCCTCTTGTTCGTTGCTATTCCCGCTCTACGCTGGTGTCAACAGGTACATTCAGAGTCCAATGTTGCAGCCGACTTGGTTCCATTGACGCGTCAGCTTGTATAGAGGGCAAGTTTGGTCTCAAGACGTTAGCTGGTTTGGCGTTTTTGTTTCGGCTCAACAACACTACACCATGGTTTTCGATTTCTAACAACCAGCAGCAAAGGATCTTTATGTCTATGGAAAAGGCAAGTGCATTGAAACAAACAATGGAAAAGGGCCTTTATTGTGTATGTATGCTAATGATAAATGTCGCCATTATGGGATAGATCTGATTGGGCATCTGCTTCTTTCTATGCAGGGCATTCTACAATGAAAGGAAGAAGACTCTGAACCATTCTGTGGGACCATTGTGATGGAATCATGGATACCAAAGGTAAAGTTGATTGGTTGGATGCGAGATCACTTACGAGTTTTGAGGGATTAAAACGCTATTGCACATGGCAATCGAATGGTTGCTTGGATCAACATGATGGAATGGTGATTGGATAAGGTATGCAGCAAGGACGCATGGCTCTCATTTATGTGGCATGTTTGCAGATTGTATGATGATTATTTGTAGTTCTAGTTTTACTAGCATCTTCTCTCATTCAATAAAACTGAGTGAGCTGTATAAATGATCATTGGTGGTTTGCAGTCTTGAGATTGACGTTCTTGGCAAGAAGAAAGATGCATGTGGCGAGCGTCATGGTGATACTCATCATGAAAAAAGCTCTTTGCAATGTTTGGCCAAGCACGTCTGCTACAATGGCTTGAAGCTCTGGTGATAAGGTATAGGTCTTGCGTATGGACGTTCGAATGAATTGAATAAGCTGTATGTACATCAAGCAGGTTTGAGTAGCCAGTAATAATGACATCAGAGCGCTTTCCTATTTACCTCGTCTGCATCTGGACCAGTGATTCTTTTATGCAGCAAATCTTTGATATTACCCTGCACAATGGCAGCAACCGAAGCAGGCCCCATAGTATATCCGATAAAGCGACAAAGGATCATCATGAGCATAGCCGATGACACCTCTATATGGTGGTATTATTTAGGCATCCTATCATTCTCTCACCACCTGTTAACCCCACGCCCAATAAATGATTGCATACCTGATTTAGGAATGTCGCTAGCTGTTGCCATGGTTACTGTAACTACAAGGGAGCCAATGGCTATACCGAGTACGACAAACAACATGATGCCGATAAAAAATGGTAACTTGCCTACCATCCATTGAGTCGAGCATCCAGCACTAATGGCAAACACTGCACCCATCATAATCATGCATGTCTTGAAGTATCCCGTTTTTCGAATGTACTGCCCCGCGGCCATACTTCCTAGTGGCAGGGAAAGTGCCTCAACCATATTCCACAACCCCGATTTTGAAGTCGTGAAGCCCAGCACTCCCTATTGGACAACAATGATGCATTGGTTATCACGTATACCCGCTCCATCACAATCTTTAGCACATACCATGAAAAACTGAGGTTGCGAGTAATTCAACGATCCATCGCTGAAACACGTCAAGAACATACCAATACAGCCGATTAGGACGTTGCGGTTTGTTGCCAATGTATGTTTCACCAAGGGATGAGAAGTGCCATATGCCTGATGTAAAGCAAAGAGAAGGAATGCCATAAAAGCACCACCAAGTACACCAAGAATAAATGGGTGTGTCCATGGATGAGTGTTGCCACCGAATAAAAAGGCAATCACCAGCAACACGTTGGCGCTCGATAAAAGCACAACACCTAGGAAATCAATGGAGCGTAGCTGATCCCATACACTGATGTCTTTGCGCATGCTTGCTGCACGATAGTTGTTGAGCCGAAAACAATAAACATAAACATTGAATAGGAGGGGGAGGATGTTGATCTTGAAACAATATCGCCATCCAAAGGTATCAGTGATGAATCCACCCAATGGCGATCCAAATGCAATTCCAAGCTAGCATAAACAAACATCAGTTGATATCTCCCAGGGCGTTTCAGAAGCTTCTAGTAGTATACTTTACCGATTGCACTGTGTTCAGGACCGACTGATATCGGCTACGTTTGGCAAGAGGAACGAGATCATGAATTACCACGTTCGCCATAAGAATAGCACCTCCCGATCCAAAACCAGCAACAGCTCTTGCAGCCACGATTTGCGGCAACGTTTGTGCAACACCACAACCATATGATCCAAGCAAGAATAAGGTTGTGAGACCAACTAGGATAGGTTTGCGACCGAAAATATCTGCTAGCTTGGCAGCTGTATCATATACATTGGGGTAAGGAAAGATTTTTCGCATGATGGCATTCATTTCTTACCTATAGGCACGGTAGTCATGGAAGCGAGTGTATAGGAATTGTGAATCCACGTTGAAAGATGAGCACTACAATAGAGTCAATGTCATCCTGCATTGTATCATTACGTGTAGTATACCCACTTTTGAAATTCTGTGCCGATTTGGGTCATGATAGTAAAGCAGATAGATACGTCTATGCAAGGTAATCCAGAGCCAATGGCAAGACTAAAAGTGGAAGTTTTTTAAGCAACCCATCAAAAGCAGCGCCAAACGAGGTGTCCTCTCACCATAATGTTAACAATATGAGACCAACCCCGCTGGTATCGGTATCATCATCTTCGCTTGTATCGCCCGAATTGACATCAATGCTGCGATAGGATTGTGTCCTCTCTTTGATTGATCCATGATAGGCGTCCTGGCTATGCAAAAGGGTTTGCTTATCGTCACCTGAATCGCCAGTCATAGGATGAGTGAATGGGAAAAGAGAAAAGAAAAAGAAAGGTCCAAATGGTGGTGGTCATGTAACAAACAAGTCATTGGGAAATGTGTTTCATCGGCATAATAGGTGGTTGGTAAACGCCTTTATTGATCACATGATGACATGCTACATACGAGTAAAATAAAGTGTGATAGCTGATTGATTTTTATTGTTGCAAATCATTAAATGTTGGTATATATAATATTACTGAAGAGGTTCAAGCACGACATCGTCCAGCATTTCGCGCATTTTTTCGAGATCCGGTCTCAAGATTTCCTCTGCTCGCTCAATATCATCCGCTGATACCTATAACACAATACGCAACCCCAACACGCGTCAAGTATATGAACAACTAGATACAAGTGAGATGTAGGTGGTACTTACAATGATATTCGCCGTCTTGTATGTGCTGAGATACCATAGATTGATATGCTCGCCTGCCAGTGGATGAGAAATGGATCGTACAATACCACATCTATCAAGGTTGGAACCACCTAGATTGACTTGGATCACGCGCATGGGTACTGAATCTTCATCCTGAAAGATGGACTCTTCTTCAAACAAATCCAAGATGTGCTTATCAGCTAGCACAGAGATGCCTTCACTGGTTGCTGTGTATGACACAAAGCGTGATTGTTCAGCTCTTTATAAAAAGAAAATGAGTTAAAAATGGGGTCTTTCCTTTTCACTCACACGCACACACACACGTGTTGAAGACTTACGAATACCCTTCAATCATTTCGGGAAAGGACAAGATCTTGAGTAATGTCATGGCCCACGTGGATCGATAGTGGGGATTCAACCCCGCACATCGCAATTCGTTGGTCAACACCGTGCTCTCAGTCGATTCACCATCCTGATGATCATCTGGTGCATGCAAAGACGAAGCTGCACTATCGACAGCCGATCCCAATGATTCGGTGGATGCATTCGAATGACGTATCATGTTGGATAATGCTGCTGACTCGTTTTGAAGCATGTCAAGTGAATCTTGATCGAACTCGAACCCATGATCCATCAAAGTTTGCACTGATTGTCTTAGTCTTCGTTCCCTCACCTACATACATCCAATGTTACAAAAAGGGGGTCTCTTTTTCCAAAAAGTGGGTTGCACTCACCAAAACAAAATCCGTTTGGTATGTCGACATGTAAAAGATGGAAAACTTGGCTTGGGCCAATGGTTCAGAAAGATCACTGATACGCTTACCACTTGCATCTATAATACAAAGGATGTGAGCAATTTCATACATCATCACTCCCCCATAGTGGGCATTCATTACCTTGACCATCAGCATCATCCACTTGCATAACACGAAAAATGTCGGGAGATGTACCGATATCGTGGGAAGGCGTCGCGTGAAGAAAGGGCAAGATATCATGATCGATGATTGCTTGGTTGGCAGCGATGGATATCTCATAGGCATTTTCCGTGAAAGAAAAGAAGTACTCGGGACTAGAATAGAAGCATGTTAATGATAGTGTCAATAAGAGATCAGCAGTAGAAGGTCATTTACTCCTTAATGTCCTGGAAAAAGCAGGCCTTTACAATGGCATGAGTTACATGGGGTAGCTGTGATCGTGGAAAATGAAGCAATTTCAGACGCGAAGGGAGAATGGTGATCATAGTTCAGAGAGTTTCAAGTCAAAGCAAAGAGATAGCACAACGGCATAAGGATGTTTGTAAATAGATATCAAGTCGTTGTCGTTTTGGAAAACGGGTTGGGGATGGGGGAGAAAGCAAGAGGAAAAATGTAAAGGCGACAAGTGGGTGGGTCCTTTTAAATCAGCAGCACTTTCTGGAAGTGGCTATAAGGCAGCGATAAGATATTTGATGCGAGAGGCATATCAAACTGAGAATCAAACTTATCGAATGGCCATTGTTGAACGTGCAAAAGTAGTAGTATCATGCACACACATTAGCTCTTTTATGGCTCTCTCTCTCTTTTAAAACATGTTCATTTATCAAACTTTGGTTTAGCCGTGCACATGGCAACAACAAAGAGAGGCACACAATCTTATTGTGTCCAGGGAAACAGCAACAATGACTGGGAATGTCATGGAGAAAAGGAGGGAAAACAGAAACCAAAGCTTAATTCAGGTTTGTGCAACATGTGGCGGATCTTGGATCTAAGGAACGGGAGCAAAGAAAGACACTTGCCCAACGAAACCACACTGCTGGAGACAAGATCCAATGTTGCCTCTTGCTTAATATAGATTGGTCTCTTGTCTTTCAAGAAGCTAAATACTCAAGAGAAGAAGAAAATTCGTTATTGCCAATCCTCCATTATCAACATCCGTATATCCCCCAAACTCAAAATCAAGTCGCCGACAATACAATTCCTCATTAATGAGTGACTCACTCTTGGCTGGCTTGTGTGATAATACCACCACCACCACTACCCCAGATGGGTGACCCCGTGCGCAAAAGTCGGGCGGCAATGGGAAATGGGCGGGTCCAACATTTTTCATTCATCAGCCAACAGCAGCAGCAGCTTTTGTTAATCACCGACAACAAGATGCCGTCACCTTTTTCTTTTGCTCTTGCACATTCAACAACGCTGCTGCAGAGTATATACACCAACACCCATCAGCGAACAACAACCCCTGAATTGCTCCTCCCCGACCCATGACCTTACGTTTGTGTCTTACACAAACATAACTTTGTGTTGCATGCTCGGAACCCTCATTCCACAGTGCTGCTGTTGCTGCTGCTCCAATGACGAGAGAACATCAACATATGAACCACGCATCATCATCATGTGCACAAAAGTTATCACTACCCCAACCACCTCTCTCATTGATGCATCCATGTATCATCTCATTGATTCTATTATTGATTTATAATTTCTCATTTACATGTGTGTGTGTGTGGGTGTGTATGTGCTTGGCATCCTTTTTGGCTTGAGTAATGTGCTCAGCAAAAAAAGTTGGAATGTGATGCGTAGGATATTATGTACAACAAGAAGCTGATAAAGGTGATGTGATATATATAGATGGCAGATGATGTATGTGCAAAGGGGTTGGGGGAATGATAATGGCAAAGTCCTGCGCCAGCAGGATTACAAGTATGCAGCTGCAGCTGCAGCTTTGGCTGCTCTGGCACGGTATCGTCGAGATCTTGCAGCAGTAGCTGCTGCCATTGCAGCTGGTAAAATGGTCACTGACATGGCAACTTGTTGTTGTGGATACAAATCATCCTCTTCATCGTCGTCGTCACCATCCTCTTGTTCACTCTCCACATGTTCCAAAGACGTGACAAAGCTATGTCGATCATCATCATTGTCGTCATGGTCATCTTTTGCAGCGATATCGTTTCGCACACTATCGAAATGACTATTGGTGCCAAACATGATAGCGGCGGAGGCACTTTTACAACGATCACTGAATGGCTGTTGTATTGCTGCTCGTCGATTATGATGATAATGTGGACGTGGTGGGGGTCGTAAAGCTGTAGGAAGCACCGGCATTTGGAGAGAAGATATCGGTTGGTCGTCTTGGCGATAATAAAAATGATCATTGGTCCCATCTACTACCATATCCTTAGAAGTCAGAGGCATCGATGCATGATGACGATTGTGTAAATGAGGAGTGGCGTCATAAGTTTGTTTAATAGTAGTGGTGGTAGCAGCATTGTTAGATGTAGTGGTAGTAGTATTTGATTGTTGTGGTTGTTGTTGCAAAGAGCTGTCGTTGTTACGTAGATGATGATGACGATGATGATGGCGGTCGTATTTGATTGAAAGAAAGCGTCCAAGTCGTTGTGATACACGTTCCTTGAGAGACATAACAGTGGTGGTGGTGGTGGTGCTTGTAGTGGTGGATCGAATACCTTGCTCTGCTGCTGGTGATGATGATGTTGTTGTAGAAGGAGTAAAAAAGACCCGATCAAGGGGATAAACATGAGCAGAGCGCCTTGTCATAAGCAACAGTAGAAGAAGAGAAGGAAGAGAAAAGAGACCACATAAAAGAGTTATCGGCAAGGTTGTCCGACATTTATATCACAAGGAAGCAAGCCGTGACCCGAACTCAGGAGCAAGAACAGACGAAACACACATACACAAAAACGCGCGCACCGCCCACACACCATAGCAAGGGATTAAAAAACAAGGTTACAAAGTTGGATGATGTTGCTGCACATTAATCACCAATGCATAGATCGCATGGCTTATGTCTGGTGATAGACTATACTGTAATGTTTGGACGGAGAGAGAGCCTTACTTTCTCCTTGCATAAACAGATCGCCCTCTTTTTCTTTCGCAAGTTGCGCAACGTGTGCGGATTGTAGTGGGATAAAAGGCAAACCTAAGGATCTCCTCCCTATTAAAGACACCATTCGTAAAAATAGTAAAGCATCCTTTACAAGCATGTGGCGCAAGAATCATGCTCAGCGCCTCATCTTTGTGGTGGGCCACTGCTGCAACAGCACCAGCCCAAGGTATCACACAGCGGCGCTGTGAAACATAACACGGCCCGCCCATACTCCAATGCATATATATAAATTGGCTGTTGCTGCAAACATCATCATCTTGATGGTCAAATCAAAAACAAGTGTCTCATAAAGTTCCTTACTGCATGGCTGTGCTTGCAATTTCAGTGTCCTTAAGGGAATATGAGAAGTCAAGGGGAGATGGATGAAGCTGTTGTCGCGTTTTCATTGTCAATGAAAATTGAGCTGTTATTATGGTTGCCATGCAACCGAAAATGGCAGATCAAGATAACAGCTATTTGAACTTTTCTTTCAGAATGTGCTAGGTAACGTATTCTTCTCAAAGCATCAGCATCATTTGCCTATATGAATAAGGTCGTTCCAATCAAAATTATTCCAAACGCTTCTCAAGTCGAAGGAAGGGGATAAGGATTCAATGTGGGATTTCGAATTGACCCAGCTTGATCATATAGTTTGTCCCCTGCTGCAGTCGTTGAGGAACAATCATGCATGTCTATAGTGGATCCTGTTACTCGATACGCACGTGTTATGTGACATTATTGACATGCCGATGATGAAAAATTGCATACAGCCCAAATCACTTATCCTTATTGTTATCATCGCTAATATGTATCAAAGGCGAAATTCTTTGGGAAGGACAGCATGCGTGCGTGTAACTTATCATGTACGGGATGAATAGCAAAATTTATTGCTTGGCTCTTTCGGTGTTGTGGTATTGTAACTCTGTATACAAAGGATTCTCGGTGTTTTCTACGGCATGTGTAGTGCTGAAAGGGTAGAAAATTTGTGGAGAAGAAAAAAGGGTTGAGATGATCGAGTGATTGCATGTCCTACATGTGCTGGAATATCGGCAAAGTACGCAAGATGCTTGCATCTGGTGTCGTGAGATACGTCCAAAAGCCAAAAGGAGCGTCTTCAGTTATCGAACATTGACCCAATACATGGATAGGCTCCCTCGATTTTCCAGTCCTCTGAATGCGTGTTTCCAATAACCTGATGACGCTATAAGTTGGTTACCATCATGGCCAAATCCAAACAATACAGGCTCTGAAGCATCACGCCCTTGCACAGGTCTTGTCACGGCTATATTTGCATGCGTCATAGTTGGATGTCGAATAAGGGCCCTGGATGTGTTGGGTACATAAAATGCTGCATTCAGATGTTGTTGGCTTCTGAAACTTGGAGGTGCGTTGTTGTATGTAGCATCACATTCGTAGTAGTGACGAAGTCATCTCCATGGCGACACCATGCAAATCATGATCTCCGGAACTTGGTGCATGAGAGTGATTGCAATCGATTTCTTGTTGTCTGAGCCCAGGAAGCAATGCCCTTTAATCCACCACCCATTTGAAAAGGTTATCGTCATCTCCATTCCATCCTCAGCTGGCATATCGTAGCCGAGCTACATTGAAGAAACGTGAGATGAGTATGTGATCCATCATGCAATATGACCAAGTTTTACCTTTTTGCAGCAATCAAATACGATAATGAAAGCAGGATAACAATGAAACATGCTATGAATGATAACAAAGATCAGCTTTGACCGTCAGGGATGCAAGGAATGACATACGCACCAAAGACAGTGACCAAAGTAAGATGAACGATAAGTGGACGATGGGCGTGTGAATGTTCGTTTGGGTTGCTGCATGAGCTGGCAAAGTCGACAGAGTGATGACATCCATGCATGAACCGGTAACTGATATCATTCTTGTAGTGCATCATGCCATCCACAGCCCGTCATCCGTTTGCTGCTGGTTGTTGATATCATCTTCAAACGCGCCCTCTTCGCAAGTCGTTTACATCACCCACATTCGTTCCTCGAGGACCCATTTCGGAAAGCAGCATACTGGATTGCCTTGTTCTTTGGTGGTGTCAACTGATGTCGATAAAGGAGGTAATCGTTCGCTCAATGCCATCTTGGATCGTTGCGGCATCGAAGGTGTGTCCCATTTCTCGTGTCGTTGTTTGCTCGTGTTGGTGTCAAGAGGGTGAAAGAGATGGAACGTGTCGGTCGTTGCCTGAAAAGCACAAGGATCCTGTTTAGCAAGTTGATTCTACTTTTATTACAACAACCACCCCTATACTACTATAACCAGTACAATAATAAAGCGTTCTTGTATCATCATATTTTGCTGCAGAGTCTTCGATCCAATAATAGTTTGATAGCTAGCATACATAAAGCAGCTATGAGTTCGGCTGCTCCTGCAAATTGAATAGCATATGGCCATCCCAGATCTTTTTGCATTTTCCCGACACATGGAGTGCCAAGCAACGACCCAATCGAGATGAACATCCACGCCACTGCACCACTAACATAGAGATGCTCCATACCAGCGATTCTCGCAAGTACCGATGGGATAAGTCCAAAGTACGTCCCTGCCGTCAAACCCATTGCTGCACTAAATATGCCACACACGGGTAATGAATGAGAAAACGGCCACAACGCCATGATAAGAATAGCTGTAATAAATGGCATTAGCATGATGAATGCATCATCATCATCATTCACATTTATATACGTTACCTGACATTAGCGTTGCTAAAAAGAGTGCATTGATTGGACCTATGCGATCGCCAATAAATCCAGATCCAAGACGAGATACAACTCCAGTGGCCATCCCCACCGAGACGAATGCTGCACCCATTGATGCACTGGAACCAACCACTTGCATAACATAGGTCGGCATAAGATAAAATGGAGCCACATACCCAAAGGGCGTCAATAGTGAGAATACCAGAGCGAAAGCAAAGGGTGCACTGAATAATGGGGAAGATCGAAAGAAGGCTATTTTACGTCTCTTTTTTTGCATGATGCTGCTTGGTGTCGTAGTCGTGGTAGTATTTGAAGAGGGTGATGGAGGGTATCTTGCTCTTGCGATGAGTGTTGCCAAGCTCAATAGAGCAAATACAATACTACCCAAGACACGTAATGCATTACGATAGCCGAGTGTTTCGATAAGATGTTCAGCAAGCGGTGATAAACACAAGGCACCAACACAAGCACCAGCATTACCAATACCATTCACGGTTGCTCGTCGTCGTACAAACCACTGGGATGGCAGCATGAATGATGAACTAAAGCAAAATGCAGCTCCTATGCCCACCAAAACACCGTGCGCCAAAGCTGTTTGCCATAGCTGTGTGGCAAAACTTGCCAAGATAAGACCCAGCGGCAAAAGAATCACCCCAATCATCATGGTGCCCTTGTACCCAATACATCGAATCACAAAAGTCAAGGGCAATCCTAATAATGTGGTGATTGCCTGTGTGCTTGTCCCAATAAAAGCAATTCGAAAAATGTCGGTTTGCCCTGGATACACGTGGTTGAGGTAGTGTGGCTGGAACACGCCCCAACAGAATGTAATGCCGAAAATTGAAAACGTCGTCAAGAAAAGAGCACCTGTGCTCAACCAGCCTGGGTTCTTTAATCCTTCGGTAAAATAGGGGTCCTCTGCACCAGTAATCGTCCTTGGGCTGTCTTTGATTTGGTTGACTTCATGGCCTTCTAGAGATGCCTCTATAGTATCTTCTTCATGTTGATTGACAAGTCCTCTACTATCATGGTTTTCGGATGGGTGGTGTACGGATATTATTTTGTCATCAGCATGATGGTTGTCAGACATTGGGTGCCAATAAAAGGTATGAAAGAGAAAAGTCTGGAGTGAATAGCTGGTCGATTTTGAGATGATAATAGAAAAAGGAACGGTTGGTTGTGCGTATCTCCATCATGCAGGATATGATTCCATGCGCCGATGTAGAAGGAATGCATCTCCTGCGTTAATATTTTGCTGGTATAAAGATGCTGCATCTCATCCACCATGACGGGGATTCTATTCTAATGACAAGTGGTTTGCGAAAGCTTGCTTATTGTTATTGCCTTCCAGTATGCGATGGATGTGTAACCTCCTCAACACAACCCAAAAGGATACAAAAAACGTCTCTCAAGTCAAACGAAATGATCGCCCAGAGGGTGATTGTTTGCATAGCGTAACACAGAATCAAAGTTCACAGCATAATGCATATCTTTGTTTTCCACCAATGTGCCATTGTCATCGTTCCAAATGAGAACCTTTTCTTCAATGCTCTTGTTTTCTTTCCATCCTATCTAAAAGCATCACCGGGGGATGATGATGATGAGCACATCCAAAACTTGAATGATACCTAAAAAGGGGGTGATGCTACTATGTGCGTGACACATGGATCAAAGTAGGGGTGGAGAGCACTAAATGGGTTTTCTTTAAACCAAGAAAAGAAAAAGCTTGTGATTGCTATATATACACACAAAGCCACCACAAGGACATGTAACAATGTTGAGATGTTGTAAATGTACACCGCTTACTTTTAAAGCTGTCGGTTGTGTGTGGGGAGGTGGGGTGAGTGAAATGTACAATACAAAAATGGAAAGTGTGGTGATGGGATGATGCATGAGAGAGAGAGGGGTGGTTGGGAGGGCAACCGTTGTGATGGGTAAAAGCGCCTCATGACGTTTGCCGCTCCACGGATGAAATAGTGAATGACTCTAGAAACAAAGGTAAGATATGGTGTTGTTGCAAGGAGGAAGATTTGGATGTTGTCGTTGGTGATATGGATGCTGTAATATCTCGCTTGCATATGGGACACTATATTGAACGAATGAGAGAATGAATATGAATTATGCACACATGGTGTCCAAAAACAATCCCCCCTCGCATCTCCCATCCAATCCCATTTCCCCCTCCCCTTCAGGTACAACAATGAAGATGAAGATGATGATGCTTACATATTTCTTTTGAGTAGTGAGCCAAGCATCAACACAACAAGCATGAAACATGTGATGACAAGGTAACACTCGAAGTTCTTCACCGTCGGTGTATTCTTCAAGGCAAATGGCACATTCCTCAGCATCGTTCTCACCCATCTTTTCCTTGAGGAATTGTTTGATCCGTAACTTGGCCACCACGTGCATAGGTGCAAGATCCTGCATGAGCTTTTTCCGTTGTCGTATCTTGTACGAGATATAAAGAAATAGCATGACAATGCTGGGTGAAATGAAAATCAGAATCACCAAATGCATCATTGGCCTATGTATATACAACCCATTCATCAGTACATAGAAAGGCCAACCCCTTTATACACGTATTTACCATGCCATCCAATCATCCATTTGTAACAAAAGTACCATCAACGGTGTATCACTTAAGGTGGCGAGGTTGTGCAAGGCTTGGTATTCCTGCTGAGCCAGAAACATGCTTGGAATAAAGATATCCGAGGTATCACCTATCATCATCATCATCATCCGAAGCACCGCCTCATGATAAGTCCTATTTTGTTTTTCGTTGTCTTTATCACACAAAAGAGACGCACCTGGTGCATACATGGTCACCCATCCTGATGTATCGGGATCACCAATAGCTACTGCTACGGCCCCGCTTTGTTGCATGTTGCGTACTTTGGTTGCAAAAGAACATCCGCCACGCCGCAGTAAAGCAACCCAATCTTCACACGGTGCATTCACCACTTGGCAGCCCGTGGGATCCCATTGGGGTTCGACGAGAAAACCCAATTTGCCTTGATGGATACCGAGTGAAGGTCCAAATGCTGATGCTCGGTCGGCAAATGTTTGGTTGGTTGACTGTATGTTCCATATCAGCTTTGTTTGTTAAAATAGATCGGGATAGTAAATTACCAAGACAACCACCGTGGCTGATGCATGAGGTGCTGAAGAAGCCAAAAGCAAAAAGATGGCTGCTGTACAGTAAAACAATGGGTGCGTGGATCGTTTCATGGGCGTTGTACGTTGTATGTAATGATGGATGGATGGTTGTCAACTTGTTGTTGTATAGGTGTGTGATGTATTAATGTTGGTACTGGTGGTGATGATGATGATATTGTGTTAGCCGCCAGCAGCTACACAAGTAACAAGTCAAAGGGAGAAAAGAGGAAAAAGAGACAAAAAAGAAAAAAGGGAGAAGGACAATTTTGGCGAGAGAGAGAAGCAGAAAAAAGAAATGGGACGAGGGGATAAACAAAAAAGGGAAACAAATTTGAAAGACGTGTCAAAAGCTTTCTTCCATTGGCGATTTTTAGTATACGTCCAATGAAGGTAGAATAAATGAGGAGATAGAGACACACACACACACACACAAGAATAAATGCAAAAGGAGGAGAAGGGACGCAATGCAGCGGCCATCATCATCATCATCATCAATCACTTGAACCAACTCCTATAATTTGCATCTCCACCCCTCTTTTGCGGAGTCATCGGCGGCATCACTTTACTGACACTCATCCACCACTCTCCAAATAGTTCTCATGCCCAATGCAGCAGCAGCATTATCACTCATGTATTCCAGCACCCATGTACACTTTATCACATATTGATCAATCATGATTTTAGTAAAAGAGTGATGGGAATGTGAAAAAGAAGGGATAGTTTTAAGCCAAGAAATCGTAGTTGCTGTTACGGAGGATCAGGAGAGAGGCAAGCAATAAAGTGACAGGAAGATGCATTAGCGTGGGCTTTGGGCATGGAATTGACAAAACACTACATGTTGCATACATATCGGGCTAAACAAATGTGCCTATGAATTTGCAGATCCCCATACACATCCATCCATCTTTTTCCCATCACTTACGTCGACGATCCTACTGCCCGGTTCATATCCTTGAGAAAGGTGATAAAGGAATCCCACATGATATTATAGCCATAACCGTACTTTGTGCCCTGCTATTCTCGGATCCGCTTGCTTGTGTTCAATGAAAACGATATCGTTTCTCCGAAGCCTCTTTTTCTTGCATTGATTGAGTTGGTGGTGAGAAACCTTGAGTCTAATTGTTTGCTGCTGCCAGCCATAAGAAGAAGGCCTTCGTTGTTGTTCTTTAGATTGTTTGCTTGTTGTTGTAATCATGGTTGATGTCATCATCACTGTTGTCATGGTACTATGATTAGAAAGAATGAAGATAAAATGGAAACAAAAGTACCTGAACAATGCTAAAGCATTAAAGGCAAACGACTTGAGTGTCCCGTGTAACAAGGCTCGTTCTTTTCAATGCGTGAGTGCGCCTCATGTTTCCCTGTTTTTGCAACATCACACGCCATTGTATCACTAAATTCCTTTGTTATAACTTGTGTGACATCAAATGTAAACGCGCGCTCATTACCTTCATGCTTACTTGATATACTACGACGACTGTGAGAATTGAACGTGTTTCAACTGTATCGGGCCAAGGTGTGTGTGTAAAAGGATGACAATGCTCTCTTTTTCCTTTCTTCTTTCTTGCATTCGCACCCAATGACCGACGCACGCTTTGAACAGGAGGAGCAGCAATTGTATGATGACATTCGAGCAGCACGACAAGCGTTAGATCTGTTTCTTGATTCGCGCATTGTTGAATCCGAGGCCATATTGAAACCCGAGTTGTGTGAAAAGTCAATGTATTATGCACTGGGAAGAGCGGTGTTGCTTGCACTCAAGAGCGTCATGACATTTCAACCTGCCGACTTTGATGTGGCAATCAATGCTATGCAACACACCGTACAGCTTGCAAGGAATATCCAGCGACAGTCGCATAGCAGCTTATGGTTCTTGACATCCTGGATACATACCGGATTGACCCCTGAAAAGCTTAAACAGATGCGTCCTCTTCATCGTCATGCTGCAAGTATTTCAAATTATACTATACATAGGTATGCTTACATTCGTATTATAGGAATTGGTCTATGCCGAAGCTTATCTTCTCAAGGCGTTCTTGTGTATCATCCATGACGAGAGTTTCATATCATTTATTCGCGAAGGATTACATATTCGACAAGCCTACATGACGTATACGGTGCTGGAGAAGTACGTTTTACAAGTGGATGAGGAAAACACAGGGGGATCTCCACCAGACGACCACTTTAGATCGGGTGTCTTGTTTGGTATGGGCGCTTTCAAGGTGATGCTATCGTTACTACCACGAACGGTGCTACGTTTAATTGAGTTCATTGGTTTCACGAGCGATCGTGAGCAAGGCATGAGGTTGTTACAAGCGCCTGGTGAATGGGATGTTTACAAGAAAACAGGCGAGATGCCATCCATTCAAGGCCCTGATGAAGGTCTTCGACGTCAATTTTGTGACATGTTGCTTATTGCCTACCATGTCCTTTTGGCCAAACTGATTCCTGTGAATGACTGTGACGATCCTCTTGCTGCCGCTATCCTCAGCTACAACCTGCAACTCTATCCCAATGGTGTCTTTTTCTTGTATTTGCATGGCCGACAGCTCTTTAGCGAGACCAAATTGGATGAAGCGACAGAGGAATACATTCGAGCCATCAATATCCAAAAGGATTGGAAACAGCTGCAACACATTTGCTATTGGGAACGTGGATTGGTTAGCACCCTTCAGCAGGATTGGAAGACAGCGGCTGAGATGTTTGATATCTTGTACATGGAAAGCAACTGGTCCAAGGCTGTATACACGTATTTTAAGGGAGTGGCATTGTATATGCATGCATTGGAGGAAAAGCAAGATGCCAAGAAACGTCATTCTCTCATGACACAAGCAACCTACATGATGAAAAAGGTGCCTGGTGCACGACAAAAGATTGCCGGTAGATCTATTCCATTGGAGGTAATAAGCTATAATAACCTTAACTTGAAAGTTGTCTGACAAGAGTTTTTTTATGCCGATTATGGAAGAAATTCGTGGCACGCAAGGCTCGCAAGTTCATTGAACAAAACAACTTTTTACTCTTTCCCGACCTTGAAGTGACCAATGCGTTTGGTGCCTGCGAGTATCTACCCTTGCCCCTCTTGCGATCCAATATCAAACGCATTGACATTGAACTTTCGGCTTTGGACGAGATTGTGGATCCTTATTATGCTGACAATATCTGCCTCGGCCACTTTTTGCGCGCTAAGCTTGCTCGTCTCACCTATACCCGATCAGAAGATCCCACGGAACGTGATACCATGCGTGCCTTGCAGCGTGAGTCGGTGGACAAGGTATTTTCTCAGGCAAAGCACGTGCGTTTGGATCACTATGTATATTACTTTACACGCTATGAGAATGCCCGTATGATGATGATTGATGGTCGCAACAAGGAAGCTGAAGCCGAATTGGATATCATTTTGCGTGCTGCCGACAAGGGATCCTATGGTATTGGTGCAGGCCCCAAAGCTAAGAACAAGTATAGTCTCGAGCACACACTCGTCTTTAAGACACACAATTGCAAGGCCGAATTACAACGAATGACATAAGAATCCTTATTCCACGCTGAGCGTTTTATTACATACACTTGTATCTGTAACAATTCCTTCCCATATAATATATCCGCTTGATCTGCCTAATGCACATACAACAATAATATGATGAATGATGCTGCTTCAACAATGAGAGATGTGATTTTAAAGCAAGGACCACTGATTCATTTATATGAGATATAGAACAACAAGAGATATAACAATGCTAATGAGGCAATGCTATTTAGACTTGGAAGTCGGTAAAGATCTCCTTTTTACCATCCGCGTTTGATTGGAATTGATAGTATTCGTCAAAGACACATCCTTCCTTGGCCAATTTTGCTTTCTTGTCTGCCACGAATTGACAATCACCCCATCCACCACTGAATCCACCAATAGCCAAATCCGAAGCGATCACTCGATGACAGGGAACAGGTAATGGGCAAAAGGGATTCAAACGAAGCGCTTGACCTACTGCTCGTGGGTGTGATTTTAGGGCATCACTAATGGCTTTGTAAGTGGAGAGTTGACCGCAAGGGATCTATGGTGATCATGATGAACATCCCTTATCGTGGAGGAATAGTATCAATAGTAATGGTACCTGGGCACAGAGATCATAGACTTGGTATTGGAAAGGGGTAATGATCCGTTTGGTTTTGACATTGATAAACGTAGCACGTTCTTCTTTTGATGTGGGGAACTCCTTGAATGCTTTCATTAAAGATAAAAGAGAGTGTGAGTGAGCGAGCATTGTATTTTCGTGCGCAGCAACCAAGAGAGCATAACCTACTCGTGACATCGTCGTCCTTTGCAGTAATGGTTTGTGTAATGCGTTTGGAGGATTTGCCATTAGAACCTTTCTTGGTAGAAGCCTTTTCAATGACCTTGGCAGTTCGTGTTCGTAATTCGCGCATTGTGGTTGAAGGGGGGTGTTGAGGTAAAAGAGGAAACAAAGAGCTGCGGAACGGGTTGAGATGGCGACTGTCAAATCACCCACACACATAAAAGATGTACCACCGGCATTACCAAACCTGGCAATCGTGTCCAATGCGCCTCTCTTCCCCGATCCTTACACACTATCGACAGGCTCTCTTGCTCATTGGGTGGTTCGTCATTTCCTTGATCCTCTTAAGCTCATTGCTACGCGATGCATCCTTCAACACCGTTCTGGAACCTACGCCTTATCGTTTGGACCTGACATTGTGGCCTTCCAACGCATCAAATGGTGTAGTAGTGGAACGATTGACGTTTGACAATGACTGGAAACCAGTGACAGCCGTCATTCACCAAGTCTCTTCCAACGAGAGCGATATCAGACATCGAGTGCATGAATTGCTCGAGTATCCATTTATTCAGCAAGTGCTTATCCACAGGGGCGATGCTACTCTCACAACCAAGTTGACAGTGGAGGTATGTGTTGTGTCATGAATGGGTCGAGACCCCTACTTACTATGTGGTGCTAATTTGTGTTTCTCAGCAACTGAATCTGGATCCTTTGCAGCAAGCGCGGGTTGAGATTTTTGAACCAGGAAGCAGCAGTGAACCCTTTGGCACCTTTGCACGCTTCATGACATGTGCTATGGCATCCTATGATGTTTGTTACTTTCAAGATGATACTTGGTCCCATCATGCCATGGATAGCTTGTACACCAACATGGCTCGATTTCCAAACTTGATCCATGCCATCTCGCCACCTTCTCTTTACCTTGATCAGTTGCGATGGAGATTTAGTAACCCAGGTATGTAGTACATAGGTCGCTATGGTAGTAGTAGTAGAGAGCTCATCATCATTATCATTCTACCAAAAGAGATTAGCATGCATGCTGGATTTGTGGATATGCAGTACGGTGCATTTGTACCACGTTGGAAATGCCAAACCTTTTTGACACAGTTGGGCAAATCGGGCTTTGGGAAGGATCAAATTCGTCTTGCAGACACCTTATTTTCATTGTGGACAAACCAGTACCCCTGGATCTTGGCTGGTCCAATTTACGGGCATCAAGCATTGAATAACACCACCACATGGCCTCTACCCCCTTTTGCAACTATGGTAAAATTTCCTATTTAGCTCATGGGTGCGGATGACAACAATTCACCTTCTTCTTCTTCTTTTACATAGTCCAAAGGCATTAGACGATTGCAGCAAGTATTGGAAGCCGATACATCGGATACACCTAAGGATTATTTTGAACGTGTGGAAGAAGTACCTCGTTTGGATGAGCGTGATGTCAGGTATTTATCATTAATCAATCAATCAATCATAAGAGAGTATTCATTTTGCATCTTCAACCACCCTACTAGAGCTGCATGCGACAATGACCAATGCTTGTTTACTACCAACATGGAACCAATTCCTGCACCAACGGAGCTGATATACAACCGACACGATATCAGGAGCATGCAACACTGGGAAGAGATGTACAATGAACTTGGAAACTCGAATGACTTTTTCGATGAGCATCCCTATCATTTCGCTGTGGATAAGGATCCCAATACATGTTGGAATACATTTCATTGTACGTTCGTTTTATTCAACAAAGAAGCTTATCAACAACAACACTCATCAATTCCAATAGATCCAACAACAAATGATTATTTTGGATTGATCTTTATCGGTGGTGATCAGCATCCTGAGCAATTCACAATGTACACCAACAATGAGGTGGATCATCCAGAGAAGCAATTCAAGATAGCTGTCACCAGTGATGGCGTGGAATGGGTAAGGCAAATAATAGGATACATAGATAGGGATCCAATCGTATTGACAGGATGTATCATAGATTGATTGTGACACTGCTGATCCAACTTTATGGGACGTAACAACATCACAACAGGTGCAGGTTCGCCTGAAATGTACCAAGGACAACGACAATGATGAGGAACCAGCCGTAAGAGCTCTTCGCATTACATTCCTGGAGAATATGGAGGAGTCTTTCACTGTCTGTGGCATGGATATGGGTACCTTGGCGCTATAGAGAAACATTTTGCATCTTGACATCATCAGCATCATCATCATTAAAGCATCATTTGAATTCATTGAGAATGTCCCAGAGTTGAATTATTAATCATCCCAACCACTTGTTTGATTGGTTTTGTGTCTTATCCATGCATAGGCTGCTGCGCACACCCAAAGTACTTTTATTTCGAGGAAGCGACATATACAAAGGCATCAGAGGATACAAGTCAAAGGTAAGGGTTGGTATACGAGCTGATCTAGCGATGGGACATGAGGACTGATTACTAATGGAAAGGTTGTCATTGTCGCAGCAACAGCAGCAACAGCAGGACTGGAAAGAGGTTCTCCGACCGCCGTATTTCAAAAAGTGAGGAGGTGGGAGCTGATGTTTCTCTTTACAACTCTTTCCTCTTCTTATCCGAGTTTTTCTTTTGTGGTGCGGTTCCAATCCACCTTCTTTTTCCCTTCACCTTCTCCCCCTTCAAAAGCCCAATACCAATCCCATCCACTGCATTTCAACAACACTCTTTTATATATCCTTTATATTACCAAAAGATGTTTGTATTCAAGCGAGGTAAGTGGTCCATCATCCAAAAGATACCAATACATGTCCATGGGATTGATCATTGTTTCATTTTCATAGACGGAAGGAAGGAGCGTGTAGCCTTTGATAAGGTAAGCATATCATAAAACACGATCGCGTATTTAACGCGCGTGTCGCGTCGAGAAAAAAATGGGCTGGGATAGGAAAAAGGCGAGAGGAAAAAAGCCAGCGCGTTAATTAACCACCCGCACACACACAACAATAGATCACTGCAAGAATCAATAAGCTTTGCTATGGCCTGGATCAAACCCATATCGACCCTGTCTCCATTACCCAAAAGGTAAAACAAAAAGCATCATGCCCATGTTTACTTTTTCCTCATGCAACATGTGATGTAGGTTATCTCTGGTGTCTATCAAGGTGTGACCACCGTTGAACTTGACAACCTTGCTGCCGAGACAGCTGCGTATATGACTACCAAGCATCCTGATTACGCTGTGTTGGCTGCCCGTATTGCCGTTTCCAATTTGCACAAGGAGACCAAAAAGGTGTTTTCTCAAGTGGTGGATGATTTGCATACCTATGTGAATCCCAAGACCAATAAGCATTCACCCATGATTTCGGATGAGACACATGCTGTGGTGATGAAGCATGCTGACAGACTCAACTCGGCCATCATTTACGATCGCGACTTTAGCTTCAACTTTTTTGGATTCAAGACCTTGGAACGTTCGTACCTGCTAAAGATCAATGGCAAAACAGCTGAGCGTCCTCAACATATGATTATGCGTGTTGCTGTTGGTATCCATGGCGAAGATATTGATTCAGCTATTGAGACATACCACTTGATGTCGGAGCGTTTCTTCACCCATGGCAGTCCCACCTTGTTCAATGCCGGCACTCCACGTCCACAATTGTCATCCTGCTTTTTGCTGACCATGAAGGATGATTCGATCGAGGGTATCTATGAGACACTCAAGACATGTGCCAAGATATCAAAGACGGCGGGTGGTATTGGTCTCAACATCCACAACATTCGAGCTACTGGTTCGTACATTGCTGGTACCAATGGATACTCAAATGGCATTGTTCCCATGTTGCGTGTGTTCAACAATACGGCTCGCTATGTGGATCAAGGTGGCAATAAGCGTCCTGGTGCCTTTGCCATGTACTTGGAACCATGGCACCCTGATGTCTTTGATTTCCTTGATTTGCGCAAGAACCATGGCAAGGAAGAAAACCGTGCACGTGATTTGTTTTATGCCTTGTGGATTCCAGACATGTTTATGCGCCGTGTGGAAGAAAATGGTGATTGGAGTTTGTTCTGCCCTGATGAAGCACCTGGATTGCAAGATGTATGGGGTGAGGCATTCGATGAATTGTACCAAAGATACGAACGTGAAGGCCGTGCTCGCAAGGTGGTCAAGGCACAAAAGCTTTGGTATGCCATTTTGGAAGCTCAAACGGAAACGGGTGGTCCATTCATGCTATACAAGGATGCATGCAATCGCAAGTCCAATCAACAAAACTTGGGTACCATCAAATGCTCCAACTTGTGCACTGAAATTGTCGAGTATTCATCCCCTGATGAGGTGGCTGTATGCAACTTGGCCAGTATTGCATTGCCCTCCTTTGTGGTGCGCAAAACACGTGACACACCTGCTTCCTTTGATTTCAAAAAGTTACATGATGTGACCAAGGTGGTGACTCGCAACTTGAACAAGATCATTGATATCAACTATTATCCTGTGCCTGAAGCTGAGCGTTCGAATCGCCGTCATCGTCCCATTGGTTTAGGTGTGCAAGGTCTTGCCGATGCCTTCATGTTGATGCGTTTCCCATTCGATTCCCCTGAAGCCAAGCAACTCAATTTGCAAATCTTTGAAACCATTTATCATGCTGCTGTGGAAGCATCCACCGAATTGGCTGCACGTGATGGCGCCTATGAGACCTTCCAAGGTTCACCTGCATCCAAGGGCCAATTGCAGTATGACTTGTGGGGCGTGACACCTACCGATTTGTGGGATTGGAGCTCGCTCAAGGAAAAAGTGGCAAAGCATGGCTTACGCAATTCGCTTTTGGTAGCACCCATGCCTACTGCATCCACTTCACAAATCCTTGGTTTCAACGAATGCTTTGAACCTTACACATCCAACTTGTATACACGTCGTGTCTTGGCCGGTGAATTCCAAATCGTCAATCCATGGTTGTTAAAGGACTTGGTGGAACGTGGTATTTGGAATGATGATGTCAAGAATATGATCATGTCTGATAATGGCTCCATTCAACGTGTACCTATTATCCCTGATGATCTCAAGAACCTCTACAAGACCGTTTGGGAATTGCCACAACGCGTAATCATTGATATGGCTGCTGATCGTGGTGCCTTTATTGACCAAAGTCAGAGTTTGAATATCTTCATTGGTGAACCCAACTTTGGCAAGCTCACAAGTATGCACTTTTATGGTTGGAAGAAGGGTCTGAAGACCGGCATGTATTATTTGAGATCGCGTCCTGCTGTCGATGCCATCAAGTTCACTGTTGATCAACTCTCACTCAAAGAATATCGTGAACGAAAGACGGAGCAAGAAAACAATAATGAAGCTGACATGCTTTGTTCACTTGAAAACAAGGATGCTTGCATGGCTTGCAGCGGTTAAACAACATTCCATTGTATTCCCACCACATGTCCTTTTTCTTTCACTGTGCATTCCCCCCCAACCTCCTCCACCTTCACCTTCACCTCTCTTCATATATAAATAACACATTACTGCATTAAAAAAAAGCAAAGTTCATTGTCTTCATAATAAATCATATAAGGGGTCTATGACCTTGATGAATAATAACGATAAACCACCAGCCCAATGATACTTGTAATGATGAGTACGACTAGAACGACGACATGGTTGGTGATCATTTTCATGTGTATCCATCCATAGCCATATACTTACTCAACATCATCAGCCATCTCAGGCACCGTCGACGATAAAGATTGCGGTTATCCAGCATGAGTCGAACGCGGGCAGTACCAACAGCATCGGGATTGGCTTTGATATGTTCATCAAGATGATGCATTCGTTTTGCAAGCTCGTTGTATCCATGCATCGTCTTTTGTAGTCGGCGATCCGTACGCTCTAAGTGGAATTGTTGTATAGATCCTTCCCCTTGATGATAGTTACTCGTAGCACCTCTAACAGCATTGGCGAGCGTATCCCATGCGTCATCAAGCGAAGTCAATTGTTCAGTGTAGGCTGCTATCGTCTCTTGATCTTGTTGTACTTTGTGTGAAAGACGTCGAATCATATCATAGAGATGCCGGGATTGCGTTCGGTATTGGTTGACGAGTTGACGTGCTGTTCTATAAAAGAATGATGCATGCGTTATTATCGTATCAAGCGTAACTTGAAGACCACTTACGGGATCGTGGAAGGGTATTGTGATGATGATGATGTTGTTGTTGTTGAGGAGGATGGATGATGCTTGAGTTGTTGAAGTTTGACAAGATTGAGAAACATGCGTCGTTCTTGGTTACTTCGCGCCTTGAGTAATAAAAGGTTTTGTGGTGATTCAATGATGAGTGCAGTGGAAGTTTGTGGATCAGCGCGTGCTTGACATTTAGCATGAATCCAACCCTCCTTGAGATTGGGCTGATCTTGTAATACATCTGACAACGTTACAGCAGAGCTTGGTAATGGATCCTCGTCTTGATCATTCTTGGTCACTCGATCCCCTTCTTCATGGATACTCGTGTTGTTGATACTGCTATTACTACTCTTGCTGCTGCTGCTGCTGTCGTCTTGCTTGTCTGATAATGCTAGTGTATCCTTCCACGAGTGAAACATGTGGTGAATGCGTGATGCTTCTCGATGCTTAATGGAAGTAGGTGTGCATGGCGGCGTGGGTGTTCCAGGCAATGGCGCATTATGAAAGTAAAGAAAAGCACGTCGAGATTGGATGGGTAAAAGAGCAATGGTGGAATCAAGTACGCGGACAAGAACATAGCAACGAAATGCCGGCCATCGAAAGCAGAAGGTATCCACCACATCCGCTGAAAATGACAGCTGACGTTTGCATGATTTGTGCTCCTGCTTCATGAAATTACTGCTTCCTCTTTAAATAAAATGATGGTGGTTGCCAGGATACGGCAACTTTTCTTTTCTATAAACATGATCGACGACACACAAACACCCATGACGTCTTGTTTCCAAACTAACCGAATGATATTCATTGTTTTCCACATTCATTCTCTGCGTGCTGCTTCTGGTATCATCATCAATCTTCTTTATACAATCAAACGAGGAGGAGAAGGAGAAGGAGAAGGTGATGGGGCCATTAACTTTTGTGATGCTATGTGTGTCAAGGCCATTTTTCCTAATGCATCTACCATCATGACCATGGCTTGTTCCTGAAGCTGTCGTTGATAAAGGGTATACTGTACTACTTGAACAATGTACGCCCGTAATGCATATCCGGTGGCTACTGCTGTCACGTAGACCGCACAAATGGCTGCCACAGTGCGAGCCATCAGCCACATGGCTTCAAGGGGCCGTAATGATAGTCGAAGTCGATCGGCATAAATCTTGGGAAGTGATTCGCTAAGGATACGGATATCTCGATACGATAATCCACCATGATGATGACTCATTGTGTTGATACTATTGAATGTCCAGCTGGTGCCAGCGCCTGCCGCGATAAGTCGAAATTCGAGAAAGCTGCAAAAATGCATATAGGCTTGTGATGGTACGTATAAACGATAATTCAATGCTCGAAGAAATCGACGCTCAAGACGATTGATGTCATTCAATTGATAGGCGTAGTTGGTATTGATAACCCAATCCGCATTTGTCCAGCATACATCGGCCCTAGTAGTAAGTAAAGATGGGGGATGTTAACAACAACAACAAGGAGAATTATGCCATATGGGGGGGGGGAGAGAGGCTGTAAAGAGGAGAGCGAGTATGTATACTACTTACAAAAACTTGTCTGCTACCACGATACCAGCAATAAACAAATCGCGTGTTGACCAATCGGGCTGATGGTGTGGACAGCTTTGTTGAAAGATTTGATCAATGTACCATAGACTGAGCAATAGGGAAGAGCAGGATACTTGTGCATGGGCGAGGGTTTTGCGGATGAAATTGGCATTTTCTCGGAATCCATGGATACCACCATGACGCATAAGGCTGGCAATAAAAGCGGCTGTAAGATCTATTATCACATAATTAGCATACCAACATGGTGGATTTCGTGTATTAATCACATGCCTATCAACTCTATGGGGATAACTTCACTTTCTGGTTCATGTCTTTGATACTTTCGAATATGCCGCAACAGAGTCAGCTAACGAAGAAGAAGCACACATACAAAAAGACACTTACTGTTTGCCCAGCAAAGTGATACATTCTATCTCTTTCAGATTGCTCTTTTCTTTGTCGTGATCGTTTGTGGTGATTCCTTTTCGACATGGCGAGTTCGATTTCGAGGCAAGAAGGGTAAAAGAATGGACGAGGGATAAAAGAAAAAGTGCTCGTTACTCAGCTCTTCCACATGCAGCCAACAAAGTGCGACGGGCGGTGACCCAAACGATTTCCATAAGCGGCTCGGCACATGACACCAATCAGCGTGGCACATCATAAAATAGATCCACCCCATCCGTAGAAGGAACAACACCCAATGTCATACCCAACCTAAAGGATGATAGTGTAGATAGATGTTGTTGCGTAAGCTGTCGCCATAAAGCATGATTTGTCATATCTTGCCACCTACGAGATACAAAGCCCTAAGGTTAAAAAAGAAAAAACGCTTCTAATAGCTTGTTGGGTATTCACTATCAGGATCCCCAACTCAACGGAGGGGCATGCTTATACAAAGAGTTTCTGTAAGCTGCGATTGGATCTATCACTTGTTGACGTTGAATCACCTTCGGCACGTATTCTAAGATGGCTGACCACCATTTTATCAGTCATATCAATCAATCAGGCCATCCAAACTCTTTGATAAGGTACTTGATGTAAGCCATCTTCCTTCTAATCAAGCACACATAAGCTCTTTGATGATAGAGCACTTGATGTAAACCTCCATCACTTTATCAACTCGTATACCACCTTATCAGCTCACGCAGCAACACCAACAAACACTCACACACCCACCGTGCGTATAAAGGCGATGTTGTCACGCATCACAATGCTCCCACATTTCTTTTTCCTCAATCCTATCCTTTTGATTGTCTACACTTTCAAGTCCTCTTTCAAGCTTGTGTATGCATCATGTTTTGAGCCCATGTGGATTGAACTGATTCATTCGCAGTGCTTTCATTGTTATCCTGCTTTCATTATCCTGGTCATTATCACCATTGTCATTGACTTTTATGAGGTAAAACCTAACCATGTTGCATGATGGATCACATACTCATACGCTCTTTTTCGATTATTAGCTATCCGCCATGATGATGCATTGATGGCTATCTTCCGAAGGATTGTAAACTGCCACGCTTCAACAAAGAACCGGATTTCCTCCGTCCACTTGGCCAGTGATGGGCTCTCCTGAGTATCAAGGTTAGGAAAGTGAAGCTTTGCTTTGAAAAGCCTCTCGGGATTTCCGCTAATTGTTCACTTTTAAAGAGCTACACGTCAAGATAGCGGAACGGGTTGTGGGCGCCAACAACAAAAGATGACATCGCTGGGTCGCTTGATGATTTTCGACACCACACTGGGATTCACAAGCGGCTGCGTTGGATGAGACGATTCCACTGAGAAAGGATTTAAATACCTCTACAAGGTATATGGGAAACCAGGGATCACCAAGAACCAACGAAGCCTGCTACAAATCTTGGAGCATTGGTAAGTAATGAGATTGGGTAGATACTGTGATGATGTTGGTTGTCTCTGATACTGCTGTATATTAGTCTGGAAGTAATGGATGATTACTGCCATCTATTGAACAAGACTCCTCAAAAAGCATTCTATACCGAACAAGACTATTTCACCGTGCTTTGGTCCAGGGTATTCGAACTATTGTTCAAATCCACTAAAAGCATTCGCTTGAAACGGTAGGCTCTTGCTTTGAGAGACGAATTAGTTTACTTGCGTTAACTTGCGTGAACCCAAACGTTTCAATGTAGCGAAAGATCACATTGCCAACAAATACGAAGAGCAAGGTGCAATAAGGAAGGAGAAGATCGACCCGTATGGGTATACAAAGACCCGAGATGAATGGTACAACATATATACAAAAAAGGATTCAAGACATCATACGTACAGAAGGAAACCCTCTCCCATTTACAAAACGTAAAATCCATCACCCTTTTTTGAAATGCGATTATGCAGCTCGCTAGTAATAATAGGCTTCTTTGTGACATTTCGCTTGTGATAAATGCATTGACCATCATCTTATTTTACACATGTTTTATTCGTAACAACCATGCACAGAGATGAGCGTGTCTATTTACTTTAAGGGATGATAGAGGAGAGCATTACAAGGACAATGGCGAGGAATGAAAGCGTAGTTTCAATGGGGTTACTATATTCAGTGTGAAGTCGTTCCTATTCAAAACGAAAACAAACAACGCTTTGTTCCCTACCTAGACAACATGGCATTCTCTGCATGGCGACGTTTGGCCTTCCAACCAGCAACATTACGATCTACAGTCTTGCAACCTCTTCCATGCCGACCCATGGTCCATCAACAGTGGCGATTTGCTGTAAGGAGCTGTCAAGTGGTGGTGTCTCCATGTCAATGGGGTTCCTGACGACACTCTTTTGGGGGGAGGTGTATAGGGACACAACAAGTGGAGCAAGGTCAAACATACCAAAGGAGCCAAGGATGCCAAGAAAAGCCGTCTTTTTTCAAAGTTGTCATTGGAAATTGTATCAGCAGTGAGAGGTAAGATAGGGAGAGAGAGAAAGTGTGTGTATGTGTGGGTGGGTGAGATCAAGAGATATGAAGGAGGTGATGGATTTTTCTGAATGGAAGCATCTTGACATAACGTATAATATTAGCAACCGGCAATGCGGATCCATCTCTCAATGCTAAACTTGCTTCGGTCTTGGTTCGAGCAAAAGCAGCTGGTTTACCCAAGGATAACATTGAAACTGCATTGAAAAAGGTATCATGTCATCATCATCATCGTCCCTTGATTGCATACATGTATTGACACAAGACATCATCCTATCTATCATCTAGGCAACGTCCAAAGAAAAGGATTCGGTCGAGGATGTGGTATATGAATGTTATGGACCAGGTGGCATTGCCATGATCATGTAAGTCTTGGCAAAAAGTAGGATGATGGGATTATGGGATTTGGTGGGGGGGGGGTAACAAGGGGAGAGAGGTCATTTCATACTTAGAGATTCTTTATGCAAACTAGTGAAGCTGTGACTGATAAGCGATCAAGAACTGTCAAGGAAGTCAAGGAGGTGTTGAACCGCGTGGGGTAAGGAGGCGAGATTTACAAGGCATTGTTGCTACCTTCATTATCCTGATCCATTGACTTTTTGCTCCTACATAGTGGATCCGTGTCCTCTGTAGGTTGGCTCTTTGATAAAAAGGGGCGTGTTGTTTTTGGTGCAGGTGAATCAGGTCATAGTCTTGAACAAATGATGGATTCAGCCATTGAAGCAGGTGCTGAGGATATCGAGGAATACGATGATCTTGTCGAGGTATATATATACTATGCTCATGTCAATGATAGCAAGCATCTCATTCATCCCTTTTTGCTTAGATCACTTGCGAGTTTCCACAATTGAGTCCAGTGAGCCGTGCATTGATGGATCAAAAATATGAGGTACAGCGAATGGAAGCAACCTATATCCCACAGAGTACCATGGAGATCTCAGATAAGGATACCCAAGAGTTGGTGGAAAGGTGTCTGGAGGATATGGATAACTTGGATGATGTTGTCAAAGTACATTGTAATGTCGTTTTGCCTCAAGAATAAAAAGTAATGACTATTATGGATCTTAAAAGACGCTGTTTTGTAAGATGTTATCATTGAAAGAGTAGTTACACTACCCGGGTATGACATCCGATCGTCATCACAAGTTATAGTTACCCCGCTCTTCCAGCATGATCACATGCAATTATCTTTTTTACAAATGGCTCTTGTACAACCAACAAGGTTGCTTATTTTGAAGCACTCTATATCGGTGTGGTCATCGTCACCTTTTTTCTCTATTTTCCAAGACTGCTACATATACACGTAGGTTTTCTATCTCACTTGGGATTGTGGATACGCTGTTGTGACATGAAGGCACGTGGTTAACGAAATATACAACAATAAAGATTTTCCAACATCACTTTTTGTTCCTCTCCTTCCGTACGCACACCCACCCACTTTTATATCATATTCGTCGTATGACCTTTTATCACTGCACAGCATCATGAAGGACGACGACACAACAACAAACGACAACCTTGATACCCGTCTTTATTCAACATCACAAAGTGTGCAAAGTTTCCTGGACAAGCTCAATCGCGGCTCACCCATCAATCTCGAATTCCTCACCAAGCCCATTGCGAATGCGACAGTGTGTCGTGTTCAAGCGATTGAATCCTTCTATGCCAAATCACGCGTGATACGGTTTCTTGTACGTAAAGGGGTACCGCCTATGCTGCTGTTCCTTGGTCTAAGTGCAGGTGGAGTTGCTGCTATTCGGCGGTTTTACAAGGAACAAACGTATCTTGCCCTGAACCTCCTCGGTGTGGTGTACCCTGCTTGGCGGTGCTGGCAACTTGTCAAGGAGATCCAACCCGAACATGATAGACAAGATGAATACAAGGCATGGCTTACTTATTGGATGTTGTATGGATCCATGCAAGGTAAGTAAAGAAAAAAGAGGCGTTGCTATGATACAACAACAAGAAGGCATTAACATGATGGTGATGATCTCTTGTAGTTTTGGATGCATGGGCTAAACCACTCACACAAAAATGGCCCAACTACAACTTGTACAAATTGATCATTCTATACTGGGCCCAGAATCCATATTCGAAAGGTGCAGCGGTGCTATGCCAACACGTATTGCAAAAACCCATTTATGACGATGATGAGAAAGAAGAATCGGATAAACGACAACAACATGATTACTACGACTACAACAACGACTATCAATCCTCATCTCCTCCTGTTTATACAATCCCTGGTGGTGCTACTGTGGATGATTGTGCATCCTCATCCTCATCCTCTGCAACTTCCTCCTCGTCTTTTGATCATCCTCCTTCTCCAGAAGAAATGACCCTCACCATCGAAACTCCTCATCATCATCATCAAAGCATTCTCGATGGCTATACACCCACCCTTCAGGAGAGTGACCGTGCATCATCACACAAGGTAAAGAAGATGGGAAGTGTGAGAGAAAAAGATACACACACGTCCGAGAACTTGTCCTGCAGCATGCTGCATTGCATAACACACAGCGCTGACTTTATTTTCTGTGCAGGGTTTCTCCATAGACGATGATGAAGCAGCAACCCCATCTTGGTGAGATGAATTCACAAACCCCGTGATCCCGACTACTCAACAACATCAACAACATCTCACACAACCGCCCCCTTCTTTCCTTTAAACAACACTATCGTCACATCTACTACTACCACCATCATCATCCCCATTCCCAATCAGTCATTCCAACATTGATGTATATGTTTTCTTTATAGTATATCCACAAGTGTTTTTATCAATTATATACATATTACAAACAACGAAATTGTGTGTGCGTGTGTGTATGGTACAGTGTGTGTGTGTCAAAGATGCCAAATGGGTATGTAAAATGGGTGATTGAAAGAGGAGGAGGTATCGTTGTCCTTAGCAAGTTGCACATAAAAAGGTGCGTTCTTCTTCTGCCATGGATGTGGGACGACCATAGTTGGTAGAAAGACGTGTGAAGAAACGAGGACCATTGGTACCCAATTGTGTATCAATACGTAAAGGACGTGTAGGACGACGAGTAGAACGATCGTATTCGGATGGGCTATGCGTATAGCGTACGGTATCGACGCCACTAAAGCGAACTGATTTCTTGTTCTTTTTAGCAGCAGCTGCTGTGGTTGTTGTTGTGGCAGTGGTAGAGGGAGCACGTAAAGCAAAGACAACGCGTCGGTTGGCAGCCATAAAGTAAGAAGCTTGAAAGAACATGTTGTTGTTGTAGTAGTGGTAGTGTGTTGAATAAATGTGACAGGTCTCGATGAGTGAAGGGGAAAAAAGTTGGATCAACGATCGTTGTTTATATACCCACCGGTTATCATGCAAGGTGAGATCGCCTGGTGTTCTTTTCTCAGTTTCTTGCTTTTCTACAGAACAACCCTAACTTCTTGGCATGCCCCAAAAAGGATTATCTGCACACATTTACTTGATATTTGCTCCCCCCCCTCTCTCTTGAAAAAGTCTCCCCCACTCTTCATCCCCCCAAATCTTTCACTCAGTCTTCCCCTTAACATGAGTTCTTGGCAAGCGTGTCATTCACAAAACGCTCTTGTTGCTGCTGTTTCAGTGGCGTGATTGCTGCTGCACTGTGATTGCCCATTCAAACAACCAACAGCAAAACATCCGAGCTTGTTCAACACCGACATCACACAACAGGTTGGCTCTTCTGCCGATAATTCCATGCATATCTTGACTTTCTCACTAACGTTGGAAAATTTACTCCCCCACCATTTGATTATCTTTCCTATGGCCTTATCTCATCCAACCCCCCGATCCAAGTAGAATGGTGTGATGTTTTTGTTGTTTATTGTAAAAGCTTTAGAGTTTATTAATTGACATTCATTAGTGGTCGTAGTAATATAGGGTAGTAGTAATATCAAAGAGAAAGCGTGTGTGTGTGTAAATCATTTGCTTTGTTTCTCATCAGGAGGCATCACCATGTTGTTGTTGGCAATGATTGTATTAGCATGGTTATTGCTGCCAGTTGATGAGCAACATGTAGTAGTGGATGATGATGATGATAATAGGGGGCAAGGGAAATTAGTACAAGAGGAATGGATGGTGGTGGTGGTGATGGCCTGATGGTCCGCCAATGATGTTGCATGTTGATCAAGGTGGGCTGATGATGACAATGGAATAGTTTGTTGTTGGTGAATTTGCAGAGTGGCCTCATCCGGCACCGTTTCCAGGAATGCTTTCCATACAGCCTCTGGCATTCTTGACTGTTGTTGTTGTTTTTGCTGCTCATGATCATTCGATTTTACCAAAGCTCCATAGTTGAGAAACATGAAATCCAAAGAGAGGGATTGTAACCCTGCCTCGTCGACTTGCATTGCTTTTTCACAAATGGCCCCACAATGCTCAAGGGTCATATGGTCCCGATACAGCCGTTCGCAACATAATTTCTTCAGCCGAGGTAATTTGTACCGATGAGCCGCCATGAGCAAGTTGATTAATACAAGTGGATCCTGGTTGTCTTTATCCAGCTGGTCGGTATACAGGTACCGGATCAGGGGCATCACCGTGCCATGTGCTTCCGGTAATACAATACGATCATCATCCATCAACATGGTCCTGGCATGTGGCCAACGCGTACACAAAATCACTTTGTGGACATGGATCTCATCGCCTGTGGAAGGTACCACCACACAATCTGATAACTCGGGATATTGTAAAAGGTGACCAAACGCATGGCCAAGATGCTCTGAGGCTGAATACTCAAAGATGTCATACAATCCCAATTGCTCGGCGTTAATGACCCATGCATCTCTGTTGTTTTCCATACACACACACATGTATCAGTGGTTGCATATTGTGCTACCTATACACAATCAATGTACCTGAAATGATCGTATCCTTGGGGCCGAAATGGATCCGTGTTGCCTAGAAACAGCAAATGATGATGATTCAATAACGACGTCTCCTCTTCATTATCGGCCGTTGTAATCATGGTAAAGTAATTCCATCCACCCATGCTAAAATGTGGACTACCGCAAACTTGCCGTTGCCATACTAAAGTATCCAAATCCAACATCCACAATGCATAGCCTCCAGCATGGGCTTGATCCACTTGATGAAGCGTCGTCGTCGTCGTCGTCGTCGTATTCGTAGTAATAGGTTGTTGTTGTTGTTGTAATGGGAGTCGTGGTGAGTCCAAGTATCGACCAAAGACAAGTAATTTGCCACACACAGCTTCGCAGAAATGTTGACTTTTGAGAAGCATCATGCTGTTGTTTGTGTTGGCTGCATGACCACTGAGAACCAAATGAGGCGTATAGGTTGTTGCATGCATCAAGTTGACCATATAAAGGTCCGATACAGTGTTGCCATGCTCGTCTTTGCCGCCAAAAATGTACATCTTGTGACCTACCAATGTACTCGAATGGTTGTAGCGTGGTGGTACTTTGTCATATTGCATCCATGTCCATGATTTGAGATCCAATACATTCAATTCATCCAATACATAGGTGCCTTTTTTTGGGAATCGTCATCGTTAGTATTGATGGATCGTCGTGGTGGTGAGAAAAAAAAAAAGAGGCAGATAGGGGAAAAGGGGGGGGGGTTGATCAACCCAAACATACATGTGGCTTTCCTAGCAAAACCGCCATACACGAAAAGTTTGTCTTGAAACACAGTTGCACTATGCAGATAACGAGGAACGACACTACCATGGACCTCGGGCTGGTACCATGTATTCTTTTCAATATCATAGACGTGGATGTCGTTGCAATACTCGGCTCGTTCATCGCATCCACCTAATCATCATCATTGAATATGAAGAAGGGAATGGATTCAATCATAAAAGATACGCACCAAAGATAAGGATGCAATTATCATTCCAAAGGTTGGCCGTGTGACCATAACGTTTACATGGCTTGGTACCTTGGACATCCTGGTAGATGTTGTGTGTGTGTGCAAGATTGGGTCATTATTGCTTCTTTGTTTGTTTGATGATTGCATATAATTACGTGAATAGTTCTCCATTGCATGTCGCATAAATCGAGTGTGTGTAATTCGCTCGATGTGTTTCCACCACCACCAAAAACATAAAGTCGATGTTTGACTTTGATAAAGGCGGGTCTCCAAAGGCCAACCAAGTTATTGCCTGTTGTACGAATTGGTTGTTCAACTGGTTGATCGACGAGTGTCATGGATCGATTGCTGCTTTATGTGTATTACAAGGAAAAAGAGAAAAGGCGTATGATGACCTTGTACAAAGGTGTGTGTGATGAGTGTAAATGGGCAAAAAAGGAGAGTTGGGAGTGGGGTAATTGGAGTGTGAACTATTCAATATGCCCTCTTGGGATGAACAAAGACAGCTATAAATTTCCGTGCATTGGGATTGATATTGCTCCGAAGACAGAGGGAGAGAGAGACAACAAGGTAAAAGATGCCGACTTGTAAAAAAGCTGTCAAACAAGATATGGATGATGGGTGCCTGCCAGATTTGTTTGCTTGCAAGTGCTCTTTTGTCGTTGTTGTATGGCTGCCAAATGCTGGATTTCAAGTTTGCTGAACACGGACCATCCTCTTCCCCTCTTCCTCCTCAAGTCAACAAGCAACCACCGACCATGGGAGACCAACTTGCAGACATGGATATTGGTACATCGTGATTCGAATCAGCACCCTCTCTTGATGCAGCTATTTCCAATTGTTGACATGCGTTAGACATGCTCGATACTACGCAGGACACCACTGCCGTTACAGACGCTGAATTGGCAGCCCTTGAACAAGAACTTGCACAACACGATGCTCCTCCTCCTCCTCCTCCTTCCGATCCCAATCCAACCGGCACAACAGTGGAATCCACCTCGAACGAACCTCAATCAGACGTCGATTCTACTCATCGTCCAGAAGCCATCTTGCTCCAAGGCGTTGATGAGATGAAGACAAGGGATATTCGTGTCTACTGTCAGGATTTACCTTTGGATAAGATTGAATGGATCAATGATACTTCTTGTAAGTGTGTGCGTGTGTGTGTTGGGTAGGTGATGATGAGGTATTCATTTCTATTACACACTAGGTAATCTCGTATTTGCCAATGAAGAAGTAGCCAAGGAGGCAGCTGAGGCGTTGCTCGTCAATGATGTGAATGATCCACTTTCCACCACTGTCTTACGCAAAGCCAAACCATTCACGGATCCCAAAAGCGAAAGGACGCATGATTTGCACATCCGTATGGCCACCAAGGAAGATGTCAAGGAAAAAGGATCACGAGATCGCAGTCGATTTTACTTGTTGTATGGCGAAGGCACTCACGATTTCGATGAATTCGATGCGTATGAAAAGGCCAGAGATAGGGCGAACAACAAACAAGAAGGTCATGAGGATGGTGATGGTGGTGATGATGGCGGCAGCAATGGGCAACAGGGTGACATTCTAAGTCGACTTGGTGCGCGAAGGGAACGCAAGATGCGATCTGATTCACAAGCAGCAGGAAAAAGTGTATTTGAACGATTGGGCAAACGAGATGAATCACGCCCTTCACGACGCCCAAGAGATCATCATCGACGACGTTCATTATCGCCACGTGCACGACCTTCACCACGACAAGAAGATGACACCCCAAAGGAATTACCCGAGAGCTTAAAAGGAAGATTAGGACCCAAACGATCATGATTACATTCCATTAAACATTGTCTTTTATTCATTTAATGATTGGGGAAGGTGTATGTAAAATGAGAGTATAGGATCCATATAATGCTTTTATTGTGGATGTGTGTGGTAGTAAAATATGAGATTGCTGTATGCTGATGACTCGCTAGCGCAATTAAATACAACCTTGATTTTCATGTTGAGAAAGTATGTATGTATGCGATACCTGTCATAATACTGGTAATGGGATCGAGTACAAGATCAGGGTCACAAAATGCTTGGTCACAATCAACGCTTCGCATGACGCATGATGCGGCCTTTTCTGGTACGTATGACGATCAATGCTTTACCACACCTTACAGCGTTCTTTGTTTCCATCTCGCTCAATCGAAGGCGTTGCAAGAATGGCTGGTGCCCACGCTTTAAGAAAGTTCCAATGATTTCTGTGTTCTCGCTTTCCCATTGTTACTAGGCAAGTGTCCCTTCTCTTTCCATTGTTGCTAGGCAACGAATCGCCATGACAACTCTCTTTTTATTGACTTTGCTTGTACATAGAATCTGTCCAAAGGGATCGGCTTTCAGAAAGATCGACGCCATTGATAAGAAGGGCATGATGCTTGTTCTTGTTGGATAGAGTGCTGTTGCCAAGGTAAGTGACAGCATACATACCTTTTATACATGACAGTGCCCAGCGGCACCCTCCGAGAAACACCCAAGTGGATCCGCAAGCTTAAGTTTGCCTCTGCCAGGGAGTGGGAAGTAGGAAGGCCATTTTGATCTTAATTGATCGGTGACCTTTCCTGCGTCTTGATCATGTTGCTTTCTTTTTTTTATAGGCTCTCTACATCTAAAGCATTGAGTCTTGGGTTCGAGTTGTTCTTGCCTTCCATTTTTTGGGTGGATCTTGCTCGTGTCCTGATTCTCATTTTCGGTATGTTTGGACTAGAAGCTTCGCATTGTAAAGACATGCTTGTGCTCACCAAGGTGTTTAGCTCTACTCTTCTGTCACGTTATCGCCTTCATTCTTTCCGATCGTGTATGGCGTTCTATGGATCGATGGACTCTTATCACCTGCTGCACGTACGTATCACGTACCTTCTTGTTTTAGAAACCCAAAGCAAACGTCTTTAAGGATGAAGCTGGTCAAAGGAATGTAGATGATTATGGACGAATTCGATCAACCTGGACATTTCTATTGTCGAGAGTCATGAATAAATCAACATTGCATAGTATTAACTTTCATCACACACATACACTTGTTTTTGACTTGCGTTGGAAATGGGGAGTTCCTTCAACGCTGGATGATGATGATGCATGATCCAGCCTTTTTCAGCAAATATGACGTATGCTCACAGGATCACAAAATTAGCAGCTGTACCGAGTCATATCTTAAGCACGATCATGCTATGTATGCGATATCATTGATATGACCCCATGAATGATATGATGACGCTTTTGATGCAAGCTCGTGTCATTGTTATCTTGGATCGGAAATGAATGATGCTGCTGCTGAGTAGTGCACCATTTCTGTTTTGAGAACTGTGTCCGACAAGAGTGTGCACAGAGGCCACTACTACTACTTTTAGACCCAGTGGTCCATGAACACAACAATAATGATGCGTTTACACCATAAACATCAACCTTGATCAAAACAACGTCTCATGTGAAAACCAATGATGCTTGTTAAAGATATGTAAAATGCAAGGGGGAAAAAGATGCTTCTATTAAAATGCTTTTGAATATGCCGGTCTAAATGAGATGGGACGATGCTACAAATAATTAACATGCAAGCGAAGAATCAGGGCCAATAGCTACTAAATGATGTTCATTTCTTCTTGCCATCGTCGTCTCCCAATAGCTCACGATTCCGAGTTAATATCTTCAAGAGTTCTTGTTGTTCTTTGGCCATTTGTGCGATGGAATCTTTAAGGCCTTCTTGTTCCAAATACTCGGATTGCAAACGATTCAACAGCATCTTCGAAGTATCGAGGACTTGCTTGAGCTCATCATGAGTGAGGCGTGCTTTAACACGGTTGGGTATATAATCGGGATGGAATGCATTGTTCGAAGGAGTCGTCAGTGGTGACGAAGCTGGGGTAACAATGTGCTCATGAGTTGGTAATGGTGATGTGGTAGGTTGTTGCTGTGGCTGTCCTGAAAGTGGGGTAGGTGGCATGCTTGCCAATACGGATGCACAACGAATAGCTGTGTGTAGAGGTTGTTTCAAAAGAACGGTGATGGTGGAAGTGGACAAGCAAGAAAGCGACATTGTTTAGATGAAATAAAGAAAAGGGAAGGGGTAAAAAGAGAGCAAGTAGCAAAGGAAAGGATGTTAAAGAAAGGAGAGGATACATCCGGAAGGCTCCGCTTTTCTTTAAATACACTACAAGAAGCGGGGTTGGTAGGTCATGCTTCCAAGACAAGCCCCACTCCAACGTCATTGGTACCTGCCCGATTCAAACCTGAAACTGGTTGATGTAACGGGTAAATAGATTTGACTGGCCAATGTTTTGTGAAGCAAATGAGAATCATTGTTTGTTCCTTATTTCTTGTCAAAAGCAATCATCCGCTAATTATGTGCTACTGCTACAACAAACGACTTTTTGGCTGATCTGCTATAATAACTACTACTAATTGTTCGAATCGTATCTGTCCTTTTCCCCGTTACGGTCGCCACGGTCATTACGATCACCACCACGGTCACGACGTTCCCTTCTAGGACGATCATAGTAATTGTCACCACCGCCGCCGCCACCACCACCACCACGACGAGGAGAGGCTTCTCGATCATCACGACGACGATAATCCCGGTCTCTGTCACGGCGATCATAATCCTTGCCTCTGCATAAACAACTTTTTACAAAGTCAGCTTCATGTATTGCCAATCAACCATCATACAAACTTACCAAGATTGAGTCAAATAGGAAATAAAATGAGAGAACGAGAACGGCAGGGACGGCAAATGGATATAAAGAAAAAAAGAAGTGGAATTCCTTGTGTCAGAGGTGTCTGTGCATGTGCGTATGTGTTTTGTCCCAGCGTGTGTATGCAATGTTTTTCCCAATAGATAAAGGGGTAAAGGGGACTTCTTCCACGGCTCTCATATCACAAGCGTCGGCAAAAGACGGCTGATGGTTGACATTGCAGGGTGCGGTATGTGTGCTTTTTTCCACTCTCATTTCCCTCTCAAACAGTAATGGACCGAAGCGGATGATGGTAGTACCTTCTGCTATCGCGCCCATAATCACGACGAGGGGATCTTCCACGGCCATTGTTGCGATAACGTCCATCACGTGGTTTCTCACGGCAATCCTTGGCCCAATGACCTATATTAACACACATGTCAATGAGATATTAAGAGTCCTATCCTTATCACAACTTACCTTCACGACCACAGTTGAAGCATTCATTCTCGTTGGGACGTTTTCCACCATTTCGAGCCCATTCCACCACAAGTTCCTTGACGCATACGTGTCAACATGTAATAACAGAAACCATTGTTACTTTACACTCTAATGCTTTACCTTTCCGTTGACTTGATTCATAGCATCCTCAGCATCACGTTTATCCTCAAACTCAATAAAGCCGAAATCTGAAAAAGAGAGTAAGAGATACATCCTTATCCGTGGTAAAGCAAGGGAATGATATAGTGTGATACTTTACCGGTCTTGAGATCCAAGCGAGTAATCTTGCCGTACTTGTTAAAGATGCCTTCGAGCTCACGCTGGACATTTCAAAGATGGAGAGATATCAGATTCATATGCGCCTTCTCCTTTACATCATTTCAGCCGAAACGGAAGCGTGTAATTGCTGACATACAGTGCTCATCGATTTCGGAATGCGGCCAATAAAGAGTGCCATGGTTGTCGTTATAGATCCAAGCAGAGATGAGAAGAAAGAAGGAAATAAAAGCTGGAGGAGAAGGAGGAGCGTATGGTGTGTGTGTGTGAACAGCCCCGTCGTCGCCATTAATTTGATTGGTTGCACATAATGCAGCCACGAACTCCTTTTAACACTGCTACTTGCTGGCCCCTGCTTTCTTCAACATCGAACACCCCCTTTTTTATCCATAGCATTGGTTTATCAACTAGTACAAACCTTTTTGGGGTGAGCAACAACGGTGTATAAGTATTGGGTTAGAGACGTTAGTATCATCACCTTCATTTTATGCAGCCGTATACAGCTCCGCAACGCTTTGATCATGCCAGACAACCTCTTCGCATAATACTCGCTCAAACCAATAACGGTGGACAAGACTCGAGAAACAAAACGACGCTCGCTACGTCATTGTCATTTATTAAAAGGAGCGATGTGCTGAGTAAATGCACCATTCCTTTACATCATTAGGAAACCGTTGCTATGAGAGCTGTAGTAGCCCGTGCTACCTAATCCTGTAGATGCATCTCGGGGGGTTAGCTACATTAAATTGAGTGTATGAATGTGCAACATCAAGGAAGTTGAATAGGCTTTATTATCATATTGAAAGACCCAATACCATAATGGCAACCATGATAATAGCAAAAGTAGGAGACAATGAATGCTAAAGATTGTTACCCATATTCGTACTTGAACCATTCACAAAGGGTCCATCCACCATGACACTCACTTCAGATTGGGCTTTGAATGTGCCAGGAATCAAAGGCAGATAAGAAATGTGTGAATCAAAACATCGTGTTTATATATGCATGATGGTGGATATGGCTGTGATCACAAACAAAAGAAAGGAGCAATGAGAACCTCGTTGGGATTGGTGATAGATGGGTAGCTTGTTGGGAAACTTTCAGTAGTAAGTATACGGATGAGAAAGGTTTAACCAATGTAATGCGACGAAAGGGAAAAAGCCTCTCTATAAGATGTTGTAAATGATCCAATCCCGTGACCCGACCTTCGAATTCCTGTTCCCACTTTCAATCCAATCGTCACCAAACCAAAAACCAAGTCTGCGATCGACATCTTGCACATGTGAGCTGGCAATACGATCGCCTAAGTTTGTAGTAGGCCCTGCTGTGTGGCTTCACTTGAGTACCCCAATACCATCCATGGCTATAAAACACATTTCATCAATGCCATTTCATCCATCATCATCCTAAGCCGTATCCATATGGTATGACCCATCGTTCTTGCTGATGACGCGACAGTAATGCATGCATCCATCCATAACCATTTGCAAATCCAATATGGTGGTTGACAAGAGCCATGTAATCGCTTCCTTTTCCATCCGGCTGTTGGCCAACACCTTGCTTGATCACTTTTCATTGTCACTTAATCGGGCGAGGATTGCTTGTATTGCTTGATGGCTCAGATGGTATCACTCAAACTGAACATCATGTTGCCAAGGGAACCAACCCAGACACTATACCCAATTCCTTCCATCCAATGCACCAATGCTATATAAAGATCCACATCGATAGGAATCCAGTTGTATTGAAGAAGGTTGCTACACGTAAATAAAGCTGCTTCTATACAATAGCTATATGCTGCTACGTTTGGTCGTGGCAGAGAAGCGTGTGTCGCTGTAGAGTATCAAGGTTGTGAACGTTGTATGAGACAATGGAGTGAAGACATCACTGATAGCAGCCGATGGAATGAACGATGTTACGCTTGATAGTGGAAGAGGAGTGTATATGAGAAGGTGCATTGTCAATGGAATGCGCGTGTTGTAGGGGGTGCACACGCCATGGACTTGCCATTCAGTCAAAGGCAATCAGATCAAGACAATCGTAGGACTGACATGATGAGTTGAAGCAGGACAATCGTTTGCAGGTGGTAGTTGTAGTTGAATGCACCAACAGTTGAGAATGGGAGGAAGAGACAAGAAGCTGTGGGAGTGGAAGGAGTGGAAATTGATAGATCGGACACCTCTTGTATAAATGCATGAACACTGTACATCCAAACCTTGATATTAGGATTTCCCATCTCAAACCTGAAACTATCACACAGAATGCTCTTGTACATGCTGATCACGTTGGTCTAAAAAAGATCCCATGTTTCATTTGAAAATTTGGAGTGGTAGGGTGCAATGTGGGTTTACTATGTAAATCGAAAATGGAGGACCGCGCCGATTCATGATTTACCGACATAGTATGTATTACCTTGGGATTCCCCATTTCGAACTTGAAACTTTGTCAGAAGGTTCGCTGTAACATGCTGATCATCTTCATTCAATTAAAAAACGCAGGCTTCATTGTGAAGATTTAAAATGCGGGGGTGCCCAAATGGTGGATGACGGGCAATAAAGAGTGAACGGCCCACCGCCCCGAAGTTGCCCACTTCCAACTTGAAAATTGGTCAGGATGGTGCTCCGAGCATGCTGTTCAACTTTTTTCTAATAAAAACTTCATGCTTCATTTGAAAATTTGGAATGGGAGCGTCCAATTGTTGAAAAGACGGAGACATTCGCAGGGTCTGTCTTTCAAGAATTTTCATGTTTGCTGTTCCAGCGTAGCTCAGTCAAATCGCCTCGGATTAAGAAACTTGAATGATGGGAATGATGGGCTGGAGCAGGAGAATCGTTCACATGTCATAGAATGAACAACAGTGCCGATTGTAAGGAAATGGCTGTTTGCTGCCAATCATAGACATTGTATATAGTATCATACATTGGCCATTCCAATCATGCAAAATGGCTGGGTTACACAAACACGCCCCTGTGCACCTTTTGCTCTATCAGGGTCAAGCTAATTCACAATGAACAAATACCACTCTTCATATAGCATCACGCTTACAAACATAAAGGTGCCTGTATCTCCAAACTTTACAATGAAACGCGAGGTTTTGAATAGAGCAATGTGCTCGGCTTGGCCAACTGCACCTTGTGTGAAAGTTTCACGTTCAATGTCGCAAACAGCTCAAAAAATAATTTTTTTTCGCCGTCGTCGAAAAAGTTTCAAGAGGTCGACCCCCGGATCCAGTTTGGCTGGTAGCGACATTGCGAAATCTGGGATTGGCAAGCTTGATCGTGAAACTGGCACCCAAGGTGCAGTTGGCTAAGCCGAGCACGTTGCTCTAATAAAAACCCCACGTTTCATTGTAAAGTTCGGAGATACAGGCACCTTTATGTTTGTTAGCGTGATGCTATATGAGAAGTGGTCTTTGTTCATTGCCAAGTAGGTGGACCTTGGAGAGCCAAAGATGCAGAAGGACCTCTTTGGGTAACTCAGCTAAAAAGTCAGGACTTTAGGGACAATGCATGAAAGGTACGCAACCCTCACTTTTATGTCATACATTGGCAGCTAACGGCCACTCTTATCCAATCATCATTGTTGCGAGATCCACTGCATGGGAACGATGCCCCTGCTCTAGACATTCATTTCCATGATTAAAGTAGGTTGATCCGAGCTGATTTGGTTGAGTTACGCTCACACAAGATTACATCGGTTGAGCTACATCGAGCGTGCTCTATGTCCAGAGTGATGTAATCTCTCTTTGACCGCAGCTCAGTCAAATCAGCTCGGATCAACCTACTTTAATCATGGAAATGAATGTCTAGAGCAGGGGCATCGTTCCCATGCAGTGGATCTCGCAACAATGATGATTGGATAAGAGTGGCCGTTAGCTGCCAATGTATGACATAAAAGTGAGGGTTGCGTACCTTTCATGCATTGTCCCTAAAGTCCTGACTTTTTAGCTGAGTTACCCAAAGAGGTCCTTCTGCATCTTTGGCTCTCCAAGGTCCACCTACTTGGCAATGAACAAAGAGCACTCTTCATATAGCATCACGCTTACAAACATAAAGGTGCCTGTATCTCCAAACTTTACAATGAAACGTGGGGTTTTTATTAGAGCAATGGGCTCGGCTTGGCCAACTGCACCTTGTGTGAAAGTTTCATGTTCAATGTCGCAACTAGCCCAAAAAATATTTTTTTGGTCGTCGTCGTCGAAGAGGTCGACCACCAGATCCAGTTTGGCTGGTAGCGACATTGCGAAATCTGGGATCGCCCACGATGAACTTCATACTTTGACACAAGATTCCTTTGACCCCGACGAGCACGTTGATCTATTAAAGAGCCCACGTTTGATTGTAAAGTTTGGAGATACAGGCACCTTTATGTTTTACATATGCTGTAAGGGTGATGCTATATGAGAAGTGGTCTTTGTTTAATGTAAAGTGGCTAGACCTTGGAGAGCCAAAGATGCAGAAAGACCTCTTGTGTAACTGAGCTAAAAAAAGTCAGGCCCTCAGGGAGGATGCATGACAGGTACGCAACCCTCATTTTCAGGTCATACATTGGCAGCCAACAGCCACTTTTTCCGATCAGCATTGTTGCGAAATCCGCTGCATGGGAATGATGCGCCTGCTGCAGAGACTTATTTCCATGATTCAAGTACATTGTACCATCACAGCTCACTCTCTCTTTAAGATAACGAAGTAAGCTTAAAATGAGCATCATCACTCTTGCATGTAGCACCTTTACAATACAAGCGGTCTAGAACACCCACCCCAACTACCTTTCGACGATCAGCTTTTGAACCAGGAAGCTTTAATGAATGTAGTAATAATGTTGCGACAAAAGAATAAAAGCATCTCGATACGATGATGTATGTAAATGATCTAATCTTCCATCTCTTACTTCAAGCTTCCATTCCCCCTTAATCCACCAACCAACCAATGACCCGCATCTTGAATACATAAGCTGATACATAGTACGATACCCTTCTAAATATTATGTCGAATCCAAATTCATTTAATGTAAAAGTCTCTAAGAGTAGTACATAGTAGGGTGGGTGTCTATCAAGCAAACATGACAAAGGAACAGTATTGCAAATTGAATGGGATACGGGTGAATCACATAGAAGTAATAGGGATAATCGTGCCTTTGTATTCTTGTTTGCTGTTGTCATAATCATCCTTCATCCACGAT